CCCAGCAGATGCATGGACCATGGCCTTGTTGGCTCCACTCACAGGCTCTAGGAGGAAGCCTGAGTTGAGCAGCAACCAGGAACAAGTTAAGCTACCTGGATAGGAACTAAGACCTCTCAGCAGCTGCCTGTGGGCTCCATAGGACTGTACTTTAAAATGGAGCATGAACTCTGGACACTGGTTTTTATCTTGACCTTGCCGAGGATGGGTGGACTTTTTCCACAGCAGAAAAAGGAGACAGGTTTTGAGATGAGAGTCCAGCATTTCCTTCAGGTCACATAGCACCTAAATAAAATTTCTTTCCTTTGCACCAGCATCTGCCTCATGAGTTTGGCTTTTGTGGCAACAGGCAGCCAAACCCCTGTTGTTTGGTTATAGGAGCACAAGAAAACTTTGGCGGGTGACAGGTATGTTCACACTTCCCTGATTATGGTAATAGTTTCACTGCTGTACACACTATGTGAAAGCAATAAATTTTACACTTGAGAAGGCACAAATATTATGAATTAAAAATGAAGATAACTACAGATACTGTAGATAAAAATGAAGACTATTATCAACAATGATAACTAAATAATTTTGAAAACTTAAAACTATTTCAGAAATAAATAAAAATCCTGAATACTCTTATAACTATTAAAGAAGTTGACCTGAAGTTTAAAATTATGCCACAAAGAAAATACTGAGCCCAGATGATGAGGGGCAGAAAAAAGGGAATAATTCCCAACTCATCCTAAGAGGTGAGTAAAACCTGGCACTAAAATTGGTCAAAAAATATCACAAGAGGTCCTAGCCAGGTAGCTCAGTTCATTAGAGCATCATTTCAATACACCAAAGTTGCAGAATCGATCCCCAGTCAGGGCACATACAAGAATCAACCAATGAATGCATAAATAAGTGGAACAATAAATTGATGTTTCTCACTCTCTTCCTTCCTCTCTCTCTTCCACTCTCTCTCTAAAATCAATAAATTTTAAAAAATTACAAGAAAGGAAATTACAGTCCCACTTCCACTCAATAATATAGATTAAAAATCCTAAACAAAATATTAACAAACTGAATCTGGTATATAAAAAAGACAACCTGAGATCAATCTGAGTTTATCCAAGAATGTTTAACATAAAATCTCTAAATATAATTTACCTATATTTTCAAAAAAGATCATATACTCATTTCAACTGATGTAGAAAAGCACTGGATAAAAACATATAGATTCATGATTTTTTTAAACCCTCTTAATTAGGAACAGAAGACTTCCTAACTGTGATAAAAGTTACTATTTTAAAACAACAATAATCCCACACAATTACGCTCTTCAACAGGGAAACACTGAAAACATTCCCTTTAAAATCAAGAATATGACAAGGTGACCTCTAACACTTGGAGGTCCTCCCTTTGCAATAAGAAAAAAAAAATTACAATTACAAAAATTAGATAGGATAAGATTATTTGCAGGAAACATGAACATTTATACAGAAAATCCACAAGAACCTATCAATTATTTAAAAATTAATAAAGGAGGGTTAATAAGGAAGGTTTTCAAAGTGACAGCATACAGAGATTTTATATCCTAGCAAAAATAGCCACTGATTTGCACTCAAGAAAGGGTTTGTTAAGTTTGTTAGGTTGAACAAGAACAAATCATGTTTAACTGCTGATGATTTCCTGTAAAGTATGCAGAAAAACCAAAGGCTAAAAAAGAAGAGGGAACAGTATAACATTTTAAGAAGTGATAAGTAAGACTTAAAATGCTGCTACAGAAAAGGGCAGAAAATGCTGATTCTGGGGAGCCCTGGGGGCCCAGGTAAAATGAGACCTATTTTTCAAGAATTCTTTTCTAGAAAAATGCTCTAAGCAGTAATGGTTTAGAGAGCATACAGAATTAATGTTGTGCTGGGTGAAGGTAACAGAACTCAAAGTAACAGGACTGAGTACTGGCAAGAGAATTAACTGAATTGCTGAACCAAAGTCTTGATAGGAATAAAAGGCAGATAGTAAAGATCATTAAAGGAAATAAAGTACTCAAGTGACTAAAAACTCAGAAGACGTTAGGGAATATTTTATAGTGGGAACTACAGAATAGGTAGGTAAGCTGGAAGGCCTGAAGAGATTAATTTCACCAGAATTGTTTGGAAACTATTTTAACTGATAGGTCTAGTCCTTGGAAAAAAACCAATATAGATGGTTAACTATACAATTATAGTTTCATTGAAATATATGGATCTCAATGCCCATAAAATGAAAAAAGCCTTTACCACCTGGAGATTACACCATAAGCAGTTTGTTTAATATCCATTCAAAATTCCATGTTTACTTTTCTCCTCTACTCCTGCAGGCATAGCAAACTATTGCAGTGTTATCTTCTTTTAAAAAGTTAATCATGAGTATGTGGTTATTTGAAGAACCTGTTAACCTCTTATCCAATTGATTAGACAGAAATTATCTAGGGGCAAATTTTATATGCGTTACTTTAATATACACATAAACAAAAACTCTGGTCTAATTGCTTGGCAAAAATTAGACTGTAAGTTATTTTATCTATTAGATACCGATGGATATTAACTTTGATAGCTATGACACTAATCAACACTGAAATCTCTTATCTAGAAGGAGGGCTATTCATATATTCAGTGTCTACAAAGAGTTCCCGCTGACCTAAACATAGTGCAGTGTGTACTCTACGAAAGAGTCCATGAAACATGCTTTGCAGGGGGAGGATAGTTTAATTCTTTCACAATGCCTGTGGAGAGTCTGGCAGTGATGAAAGCCTAGAAAACTCATGAAAGGGCCTTTTATAATCAGGGTGAATGTGGAGCACAAAAGCAAAGTCAGATGACCTACTTAAAGCTTTGCTTTTACTGATGAGAATTAATTCTCATTCCAGATTAGTCGCTTTCTAGAAAAAGAAAACCTTACATAATGACTGGAAAATTAAGATAGGAGTATAACTCTACTAAGTTCTAATTTTCCCCTCCCAAATATCAGCTCAAGACCCAGGATCTATGACCACAGACAGAATACTTGTATGTTTCTTAAGGCTCTGAAAGGTATACTCTTGTTTACCTCATTGTAACAATGCGTTCTTTGACTGCTGGGCTATGAGGAAATTTAAATTCTATAATCCACTGATCAGGTCAGAAATTTTGGCTAGTAATATTGTAAGAGGAAATCGTTTCTTAATCTCTTTCTGGACCTTATACAAAGAAATGGATGATAAACCTGTCTTGAAAGGTAAGGACACACTCAGCAATCAGAAGGAATGCAAGAATATGAATGAATATCAAGACCATTATGGTAAATCCAAGAAGCCAGACACAACAGCATATGCCATATGACTGCATTTATTTTTTGTTTATTATAAAAAGTTTCAATATAATTTAAGTGTTTATTGAAATTACCACTTATGTCTAATGAATATGCAGCAAAAGCAACATATTGCTCTGGCCAGGTAGCTCCATTGGTTAGAGTATCATCCCAATAGGCCAAGGTAGCGGGTTTAAGGGTTCGATCCCTGGTCAAGACACATACAAGAATCAACAAATGAAAACAACAAATCAATATTTCTCTCTCTCCCCACCCCTTCTTCTCTCTCTCAAACAAATAAAATTAAAAAAATGTTTAAGTGTTTTAACTTCAGAAAAATAAATATTCAGGCCCAGATGCCTTCACTGGTAAATCCCATAAAACATTTAAAAAGGAAATAACATCAATTCTATGCAATCTCTTCAAAAAATATAGAAGAGGAGGTACTACTTCCCAACTTTCATTTTTATACCAGCATTATCCTGAAAACAAAACCAGACAATAAACCAAAAGAAAATTACCTAATTTCCCTCATGAACATAGAAATAAAAACCCCCAAGAGGATATTACCAAATCAAGTGCAGCAACATATGAAAAGAATAATATACCATGATAAAGTATGGTTTACTCCAGGAATGCAAAGCTGGTTTAATTTGTTTTTTTAAATCAACGTGAATTATAGGTTGAAAAAACCCACATGAGCCTATCATTTGATGTACATTTGACACAACCCAACACCCACTCATGAGAAAAACTCTCAGCAAAGTTGGAATAAAAGGAATCTTCCTCTAACTGATAAAGGTGCCTTAAAAATAAAACACACAAAACCCCTAAAGTCTGATTACTTTCCCCCTAAAATAATATTCAAGTCCAAGATGTCCAATCTCACCACTCTTATTCAACACAGTACTGTAAGTCTTACCCAGTGCAATAAGGAAAGAAAAGAAAATTAAAATATCCATAGATTAGTAAGAATTAAAACTGTCCATACTTATAGAGGACATGATAATCTACATAGAAAATCCCAAGTAATCTACAAACAACAACAACAAACCTCCCAGAACTAATACATTTAGCAATGTCACAAGACATAGGGACAACACAGAAAAAATCATTCATGTTTCTATATAGTAGTAAAGACTAACTGACAAAACAAACTTAAAAACATATTTACAATCACTCCCTACAAATCTAACAAAACATGTTAGGATCTATATGCTAAAAACCACAAAACACTGATGAAACAGTAATCAAGTCAGACCTAATGAAAAGACATATAGTGTTCATGTTTTGGATTCATTACCAGGAAAAGAGCCACCAGAAAGGATAACTATAATGCCTTTTTTTTTTAGACTTTATTTATTTATTTATCTTTTAGAGGGGAAGGGAAGGAGAGAGGGAGAGAAACATCAATGTATGGTTGCCTTTCATGCATCCCCTGCTGGGAACTGGCCTGCAACCCAGGCATGTGCCCTGACTGGGAACCAAACCGCAATTGTCTGGTTCGCAGGCCCGTGCTCAATCCACTGAGCTACACCAGCCAGGGCAACTATAATGCTTTTAATCACAAAAAATAAGCTGCTCTTACAGTTTGGAAATAAAATGGAATGGGAGAGAACCAGATTTTAGCTTTATTTTGTGAGGACACTTACTTGGGGGACAAAGCCTCCTCACAGCCCTGGGTTTATTTCTCTTACCTTAGTTATTTGAACTGCATCATCCATTCCCACTCACTGGAATTCCATAAATACTTCTTTTTTTTAGTTTTGCCACCTGCAACTAAAGGAAAAAACCCTTAGAAGGGTGAAACAATCCTATTTAAATCTGTGGATTTGTTTCCAGGGAGAGGAATACACTTTAAGGAGATGTTTCATAGAGCTGTGTTTAACATTCCAGGAGCCACAGAACAAATCTCCATCTTAAATTAAATAGGTTTTAGATCACCAAAGAGCTCATGAGAACTGGGTGTGTTGAGAAATTAGGTCTATCCAGTGCAGGCAAGACGGAGTACTCCTCCCCTCTCCCAAAACTTGGACTACTGTATTTTGCTGTATATAATGTGCATTTTGCCCAAATTTTTGAAGGAAAAACAAGGATGTGCATTACATATGTGCAGTACCTGAAATACCTTCTTTCTGTTCTTGTGTTTTGTAATTATTTGTTACATAAAATTTCTTGTGCCATAATATGTTCAAAAACAAATGCTAAAATTCTTTTATAATACAAAAACCAAGTATCTAAAATATAAATAAATAAATAATTAAATTAATTTTTTTTCCCCCTGAAAGTTTGGGCCAAAAATGTGGGTGTGTATTATACCTGGCAAAATAAGGTATTCCACTGCAAGATTTTTTTTTTGGACTATTAGGTCCCTTGAGCTAGTTTTAATTGTCTTACAAATAAATTAAAGGACAGCCTTGCATAACAAAGAATTATCCTCAAATGCCAAGGCTGAAAACTCTGTACTATTCAAAGACCCATCCTCAGGTCCAAGTTCTGTAAGTCATTAGCTAAGTGACCTAGGCCAAACGTATTGACCTCTTTAGGCCTCAGTTCTTACTCTTGGAAAAAGAATAGAGCCTGAATTAAAAGTTCTCTTCCATTCTAATTCTTACGATACCAAAATAATAAAATTATATTGAAATAATACCTAACCTTTAAGTACACACAATGGGCCATACTGTTTTACATATTCTATTTCATTTAACCCGCAAAATAGCCCTATAAGGAAGATGCTGTCATTCTCTTCATTATTTGAATGAATAACCTGATACAAGCCGACTTGTTTAGGGTCACAAAGTGGTCAACAGCAGAGCCGGGACCTGAACCCGGCCAATATGATTCTAGAGCCCTCATTCTTATCATTATCTTCCCCATCTTTCTGGACCTATGGACAGAGGATTAAGAACCACATCCCTAAACTCATAGCCCACTAAACATCATAAGAGACTCTGGATCAGAAAAGGGAAAAAAGACACATTTTTCAAGTACAAATGGGCCAAGATTAGGAAAACAAGGTCCAATGCTGTTAAAGATCTAATGCCACAGGTTGCTCATACTCTGCACTGACACTGTAGAAGACAATACCTTTCAACGGAAAGGGTCTTCTGAATGTTCACACACTTGAAAATCCTAAATACAATAAAAACTTCATACAAAGACATTTATTGACTTCCCAATGACTGAGCCATGTAGTGGTCCGAGGTGAGACTGTCAGGTGTGCACTGCAGGCTGGTAGCTTCCCATACCGAATCTTACCCTTTTCCTTTTTTCTCACAGCCATTACTCTTCAATGTCAACAAAAGAAGTTGGGAGAAAACAAAGCAGGGAAATCTTTAGGACTGGATAAAAAGTAAAATGGAGAGATACATACTTCTTTCACATTGGTGGGTACAGGACAGTTAACATTTAACATTTAGAGTAAATAAGAGATAGTATGTAGGCAACGAGACAAGAGAAGTTTCATGGTCTTGTGCCAGGCTGTGCCTCTGAGGAGTCTGGAAAAGTACTCTGATATTTCAAAGGTAAGTTATACTGAACACATAAGAAAAATGAACAGGACTCACTTAAGGCAAAAGACTGACCTTTGTTGTTAACAATGTTGGGGCCTCTATACTATCCAAGTATTCCTGAACTATCTTCTATTGCTTATACATAACAAAAATATTCAAGGAAGACTCTGTGCTAAATTTTGCTCTTGAAGAAATATTCTTATGGCAGGAAAAATTGTTATATTTTGTATACAGTGTGCCTAATATCACCAAGGGGTAACTTATAACCAAACTGCTGGAGTTCTTAAAAAAAAAAAAAGCACATGCCCAAGTACTAAGAACTCAAAGACCAGGCAGTGGACTTCACAGACATTTCATAAGCTCAGCTTCCTTATCTGTTTAATCAAAAGTTGCACTAATTTAAACTCAGGACTTTTAGAGGAGACTGTGGAGGCAGTTCATCCTTCTGTTCTCACATGAGACCAATGCTCCAGAAAGGATGACAGTAACTGAGTGAGCAAAGAACAATCATTGGCTTTATTTCTCAATATTTGGGTCCATTTCTCCTTCCAGCTGTACTAGCAATGCAGCTACATGGAGATAGCACATTAAATACATAATTTCAAAGAGGCAAAGGCTGGTGGTAAAACACAAACCCAGTTATATCTTATTCTAAAATCTATGCTCTCCCCCACTGGTTGAATAGGGCCTATAAACAACGTACATCAATAGCCACATGAGGAAAAGGGCTTCTCTCAAGAAGAAAATACATGAACGAAGTTTCAAAGACCTGATTTAAATTTATCATAATTGTCACACAATTACAAAACTCATAAGTATGGTGCAATGTACACAGCCAGTGAGACTTTCTAATCACTGTCTGACTGAACGAGTGAAATAAACTGGAAAGGCCAAATCCTTGATATAGCAGAAACTCCTATGCCAAAGATGGGAAACAAAACCTTGTGGCAAATTAGAGAGACACCACAGTGGTTCCATTTCCTACTGTTAAGAGTCATTGCCAGGAAGTCCTGTGTTTACTATAGCAACAACTGGACTTGCTACTACTCACCCAGTTTCTGCCTTTTTGTTTCCTCAGGAAGCAGACTCAAAAATCAGGCTCCTGATCCCTTTTTTTAAAAGAAGCTTCCATTTAAAACTAGAAATTAATAAATGCATATATTAAAAATGTTACATGTTGACTGACACCCAAGATTTCTGTAAATTCAACTCAATCTTTAAAGCACACAGTCGTATTATCTTGCAATACAGCATTCTATAGAATCTACTAAAACTCTCCAGCTACTAAAGTCTAGGAATGCTGAATAAATAGTAACATCCTTTAAAAAGCTTAGCTAAGCTCTCAAGAAAGTAGAGAAAGCTGCCAGAGCTGGAAACAAAAAGTGAAGCAAAGGCCAGAGGTAGAAGTAGGTACTGATCTTTGTATTATCCCCAGAATACAAACACATTTGTATTTCAGTAACCAACGGGATGGAGGAAAGGAGACAGAATGCAGGAGAAAAATAAAAAGGCTCCTGAGCAAGGTGGGGAGTTGGATTTAAGATCTCTTGCAAAGTTGTAGTCCTCAGAGGCCTATGCTCTCAATGAAAATAAACAAAGAAAAAACCCACCTGCAATGAACAAGAACACCAGAAAGCTTGTCTGTTTAATCTACGATAAGGGGAGAAAAGGGCTCCCCCCTGAGAATTTTAAAACATAGACATATGCTTCACAGGGATTTGAGGTCTAAATGTACTTAACTCAATCTTATGATTTAGGAGCCTCCCCAACATGAGAAATTAGCAAAAGTGGCCCATGCCAGTTATATCCCTAGACGTCTCCAGTGGATAAAAAATGAAACCACTGGGGAAAGGCAAACCCTCAACACAAAATGCACAGGACACAGAAAACAGAACAGTCTCATAAAAACTATAAAATCAAAACCATAAGGCAAACATAAAACCCTCAGTAATTAATAAACTAGAAAATGTATCAGAGAAATTTATTCAAAATGCTGCACAAAGATATAAACATTCCCTGATCCAGAAAAATAACTGCAGAACTAAAAGATAGAAAGCTGACTGTAAAATTTATATAGAAATACAAAGGACTTAGAATATCCAAAACAATTTTGATAAAGAAAAAGAAAGTTGGAAAACTATCTGACAGTGAACAAGGCAGTATGCTATGGGTATAAGAGTGGACATGTAAGCCAAGAGAATAAACTGGAAAGTACAGAAACAGAACCACACATAGATATTCAACTGATTATCTACAGAAATTCCAAGGCAATTTAATGGGAACATAATAGGCAACTGAATAGTGTCAAAACAACTGGATACCTATATGGAAAAAATGAACTTTGACCTTTAGGCTAATGCATATACAAACATTAACTTGAAAAATTTTTAGATCAAATATAAAAGCTAAAAGCATAAAAACACATAAAAAACTTTACAATCTTCATATATTGTATTAATTTTATATTAGTCCATAACAAATTATCACAGTTAGAGGTCAGAGTCCAGACACGGGGTGGCTGAATTTTCTGCTCAGGGTCTCAAGAGGATAAATTCAAGGTATCTGGCACCTAGAGCTACATTCTTACCTATCTAGCACTCAGGGTCCTCTTCTAAGTTCACTTGGTTATGGCAGAACTCACTTCCTTGCAGTTACAGGACTTTAAGGTCCCTGTTTCTTTGCTACTTCCCACCCGCCAGCCATGCTCAGTTGCTGAAGGCCATCTACAAAACTTGCCATATGGGCTTCATCATCTTCAAAGTAAACAATAAAAAAAAAACCCCAAAACTCCCTCTTATTGAATCTTCATGTTTCAAATCCTTTCACTTCTTCTGGAGTGAGATCTTAAGGGTTCATGTGATTAGGACAGACCTATCTGCAAAATCTCCCTTTTGCCCTGCAACATACTAGGCAATCACTATAGAAACATCTTCATCATAGCTGCAAAATACCCAAATTCCCAGAAAAAATATTATACTAACATGTGGGTTAGGTCAATCAAGAGTCATCTTAGGATTCTGTCTACCTACAGATAGACAGACTTCTTAGATTGAACACAAAAAGCATGAACTAATTTTAAAAAGTGATAATCTAGACTCCATCAAAATTATAACTTTTTGCTCTTTGAGAGACCATAAAAAAGCAAAAAATGATCTCCAGACTTCTGGTCAAGATGGCAGCATAAGTAAACATGACCCACCTCCTCATGAAGCCACACTAAAATTACAACTAAAACAGAGAACAACCATCACTTTGAACCTTCAGAAA